TAATCGGTAACATCGAACATAACATGTTGCGTACATTACATAGAACATAACATAGTACGTATGTTACACTCTATACTCAGAACAAGCACGAGTTTAGCGGATCGCAATCCGCTTACTCCGAGGTGTAATTATTGCCTTAATCCAAGGCTAATTACTTTTCCGTTTAAAGTCCAAAACTGATTTTATTTATTTTTATCTGCGGCAAAGACGCCTAATTTTAAATGTATAGATTTTTCTAAATACATATATTAAAATCTAAATACATGCATAACTACTGGCTACCCAGCCACATACCGTATTCTTGGTTGGGTGCAGTCATACCATGCCCATCTTGTGTGACACACACCCCTGTCACCAGGGTACGTGTAGCCCCCGTTACAGAGGGTGTATACCATGGAAACAGCCCGGCTGCACATCGCAGCAAAATAAAGTATTTACAGAATGAGTGTCACACATCGAGTGCACAGACAGGAAGTCCAAATCATCCCACAGATGTCGGAGGAAGCCAAAACCTACATGGGTTTGTAGTAGAATGAAGAATTGCTTGATGGTGATAGTATTTCTACACATGAAGTGTCTGCAGAGCAAAACACTTTCAATACGTTGCCCCTACTATAATCATAGCCATGTATGGTTTCTCGACGAGATTACGAGCACATCCTGTGTCATATTTTGGGCTTACGAAATTTGTATGACGACCCGCTGTCGCGAGCCATCTGGTTGCGAGGCGTTGTGTTGAAAGCAAAGTAATTTACAAACAATCTCCTGTAGCTGAGCCTCCATCTGCTATGGAGCAGTAATTCGCACACGCGTGGCGTTCGTCCAGTCAAAAGTGACTCATACCAGGATCAGACGCAAGTCAAACTTTTTTAGATAGCCGGTGTATCGCTACCGGCGATAGAGCTCATGAGAGCCATGTCGTTTATTTTCAAGTGTGCTCGATGAGAGAGGGATAGTCAATTTTTATTTGGAGCGGACAGTTCGCAACGAGGATGACCAGTACCTTGTGAAGTGACGAGTGGAGGCTTCCAGGGGGTTTGATGTTCCGCTTTGGCAAAATTGTCGTGTTCCGTCGCCACATACGGCTTGGTGCGCCCTTCATTTTGATCTATCCGGGAAAAACGACATTTCTGCGCTGCGCAACACGCTTCCCATAAGCGAATGGGGACCGGTCTTGTTCTTGATTTTGGATTTGGTGGGTACCTATTCCAGCAAGTTCGTTAGTACGAGCATGGCTGATTACCCAGGATAACACGATTGCGATCTTAATGAGTCTCTATTTGTTGTGAAGGGTGTAACGGGTTATGTACAAGCTAGAAATCGTATATGGACTTTTGGCATAGGTCATACTTACAAAGGATAACAACAATTCATGCTACGTACTCTGACGGATGAGAGGGGTGAAATTCTGTGAAATTCAGGCCCATGATTCACGTGAGCTGCTAGTCTGGTGCTGTGCATCACGTTTTAAAGATAATTAAACATGTATCTTTATATTATTGTCTTAAGCTAGACTTGATGCTAATTATATTACTGGATTGAGAAACGTTTGGTTTGGCGCCGGTGTCTATCCTGTCTGTTATGCACGAAAAGGCGAAGCTTTTACTTACCAATATTTCCAATCCTCAAACCCGATTCTCGAGCTCAAATAAAGTTCTGCGTACCACATCATTTGGATCTAAAATATTACAACACCTTCTCATATGATATATACCAGCCATGTCCCACGAAGTGTGCGACTGTCGGAATTTATAAGTGCGTGGTCTCAGCTGTGGTTAGAGTAGGAATTCGGGTCGGCTTATTGCCGATCAGCCCTGACTTGGATCAACAAGTGCCCAACCAGGGTCAACCTACGAAATTTGCCTAGCATTAACTATTGAACTCGGGTTACTCGGGATGCCTACATTAAAAATAGGCAAAAAGCCAAATTCACGGTGTAGCTGTGGCTAATAGTGCGTTATGGTGAACTACTGACTTGTCACTCTATTTCTCGAGTTGGAATCTTCCTGTTGGTTTCTTTGGCGAGTGGTTCTGCACAAAAAAATCCATTTCTTCCCAAACGGTCGTCGAGCAGTTGCATGGAGGAGGTTCCTTAGGCTGACAAAGACGAGCGAGGAGCGGAAAGTTGAATCCCTCTGCTTGTTGCTGCTTGTTATTTATTGCCTTTCGTCTTTCTTATTGCCCCGCCCTTTAAATATGAGAATAGCGCACAGACAGACAGGTACTTCTGGCGCAAATGAGGGCTTGTAATGCTCTCCAACAACAGAAGCTCCTGCTCGCTGCTTGTCCTTCGTCCGCTCCTTTGATTTCTTCCGGCGCCACCGAAATTCCGATGAAGTGGCGCTTACAACTACGGTACTGATATTGTTGTCTTCTGCTCGGAAGGGGGTCAAGTTCTACTACGGTATTAAAGTTTTGTTGTCTTCTGGTACTGAAATTGTTGTCTTCTGCTAGGAAGGGGGTCAAGTTCAGCCTTGTTAGAGCTGTGTGAGATAATGGCATGGGCAGCAAAGCAGTTTAATTTCCCACAGGAACGGTGTAGGGCCTGGTAAGAAATCCGCACTAGAAATCTTGAGGGACTTTCTAGCGATCTAAAAAAAAGTCTTAAGCGGCGACGGGCCCACAGGCATCCATACTGAATATGAGGAATAAATCGCTGGTATTGTTTTGAATATGAAGGCTGAAAAGAGCGTGTGACCAGAGATACCATTCACCACATTGCTGAATAGATCGCCAGCGAGAGAACATTAGAGACGATGAATTCAATGCATATGACGACTGGTTAAATAAGTTGATGGAACCGATTCTCGTTCCGTTTGGTCACAAATTTGGCAACTATGTAGGATTGATACCTATTGAATGGGGCTTTTGAGTACATTATTTATCTGGCCAAACTTAGATGACTTGTGTTCCTTACAACACGATGCTAATAGGCAGAACTGCTGTTTATTTGGGAGACTCGCGATACACAACATGTATACAACCAGTGTTCGTCAGGTGCTACCGAAAACCACAGGGTTTGCCTCAATGAAAATAACAGTTGTGCTCGCCGTCAAGTCGATGGCGGCAGTTTGACGTCCCTGGTGATAATCAAGGGCAAAGATTCGCCTAGTCAAATGTAGCATGGCATATGGGTGGAATATAAAACCAAAGCCGGGGCGAATGAAGCATTAACGATTTCATGGATGGAGCACATATTTTCGCGCGTCTCAGGGGCATCTTCTTGTGTCAGAATTCTCGCAGGGCTCCCATTCCAAATGATGCCTAGGACTATACAGAACGTCTAAACCAGTTCGGCTGTGATTCCCTGAGGATCGACTACATATAATCATGCTGGTGACGTCGGGATCAACACATCGCTAAAACATAACCTGTCGCCTTTTGTTGAGGCCTGGAGGGAATCTGACAATATTGAGATTACTTGCGGCGGAATCTTCAACCTCCGAAAGTAGAAAGAATGTGAGATTGGGTCAAAACGGGCTGGCGGAATTCCTCCCAAACTGTGATTAAGATAACCATTTACCGCGCTGGTTCTCTTGACGATTTTTCGAAACTTCAAGCTACCCAGTGCGATATTTACGGGTTGCGAATCAAATATGGATAATAAACCAAAGTGAATGTGCTGAGAATTTTTGAAAATAAGATCACGAACTAAAGCAAATAAGAGCGCCCTTTCTGATAGAAAGCCCTATCGGTAGTAAGGACTGAGGAGAAATTCCTATCGTTGACGTTCGTCGGGGAGTTCTTTCCCTTTAGGAGGGCAGTGGCCATCCTGATCGATCCCCCACCGGCTAATCATCACAGCATCGTCGTTGGCAACAGAAGTCTCTCAACTACGTCTTATTTTTCAGCGAAAGTACTTTTCAAGGAGCTGAGATTGCAACGTCGACACCAGCCACGACGTCACTGAAGGCGGACGTAAGTGGAGAGGATCAACTACGTTCCATTACCTCCTATGGCCCAGCTCTACCGGCAGAACCCGCGCAAGGGCGGATGGCCAGACGGCCATTTAGGTTTCCATGGGATTGGAAGAAATTTTATGGATTACAGGCAAGACAGAGTCAGCAAGTGCAGCAAAAGAGTTCAAGAGAAGCTTTAGTAAGTTATGGACCCCTTGTATGCCAAGAGTGTGCTCCATTGTACTCGAAGGCAAGTGGTACTGTTCTTAAAAAGATATCTGGCGATGTACAACGTCTTTGACTCAATAGATTGTGCGGCGGTTGAGCCAATGCTCGCCGACGCAGTGATAACATCTACTACGACGTGTAAATATATTGATCAGGAAGCAGGGAAGGGTTACTCCTTTCGTTAGCAAGCTTTAAGGAATTGCACTGAATGGATTGCACCTTACAACGAAAAAGTAAACAGTTTTTACTTGAACAGGTCCATACATTTTGTTATGAATCATTCGGTCCACGTTGTGGAGCGACATTTTTATTGGCTTAGTTCATCTGGATTGTCAATCAAGACAATTCACATACGGAGAAAGCTGATGTCATATCGCCATTTCTCCGATGAGGTATTCGCTCCATCTAGAAATATAAAGGATTGAGCTCAAAGGTCACTATTGTAAGTTTTGACAGCTATAGCAATGTGATGATAGACTTTGATACACTAAGTTATTGCACATACGATGCGCTTGCGCATCCTCTCCAGCAAGATTCTCGTTATGGAGCTGGACACAGTTTGCTGGCACATTGCCTGGTTAGGTTATAGGCCTTGATGACCTGTTACCAATGCCAAAGCGGTGCAATACTGAACGGATGTCTAGGTCTTCCTTGGAGTGTCAGAGACAGATACCGTATGTGTGATCAAAGAGAGACACCAAGGTGAAACATCCACGTCACTTGAAGTGGGGAGCTTGCTGATGCTTCATAAAGCCATTGAAAATTATAAAGCCAGTTCGGAAATTGATCTAGCTGCTCAACAGGAAGCGAGGAATATATTAAAGCGCATGACTTCTCTTCCCGATCGTTACCATGTTTCAATAAGCCTGGTGAGCGGAATGCAGATTTATCAAGCTAGTCACAAAATATTCCATTCACACACCCTACTCTGAAAACTGGAACATTCTGGCAGACTTCAAAGCCTTTCGAGGCTCTTGCAGTTTAACTTGGAGAGTCTTCTTACTCGACTTTCTCTACGGTTATTCCTTGGCGCTACAAGCTAGAGACTCACCAGATTGAGAAGCGGGGCAGTCTAGATTGCACCCTGCAGTCTCTCGAAGCCGAATCGATGAACAAGGTATTTATAAATAAATGAAAGGCTCCAAATGTCTGTACCCTAGATACCGCCGTTAACCAGATGGATATCTTGTTGAACTAAATAGGTGGCCCGATACGCTG